TACTACTACTACTACTACTACTACTACTACTACTACTACTACTACTACTACTACTACTACTACTACTACTACTACTACGACGACGACGACGACGACGACGACGACGACTGCACAGATTTCCGTAAATCGAAATTGCCCCTACCTGGAACGTACTGCTGGGGTTCTTGTTGAAGATCTCTGTGAGGGCTAGGTCTGGTCGGATCCAGTCGATGGTGAGCTGGAGGTTCCAGTGGAGCTGTTCTTCCCACGACTGCATAGCGCTGTGGGCTAGAAAAAAAAGCAGTTTTTTGAGTTGATGCGTTTTGTATTTCGGGGTTGTATTTAAAGGTGACGTCGTTTCTCTACGTCGTCGTAGTTGTCGTCGTCATCATCATCATCATCATCATCATCATCATCATCATCATCATCATCATCGTCGTCGTCGTCGTCGTCGAACTCACCGTCATCACCTGATCCCTTTCGTCGTACTTGTTCCCTGTTACCTGTCCTTAAACAACACCAAAAATAATAAGGTAAACAAAAAGAACAGCAACTCTCCGACAGCACCATCAGCAACTACAGCAACAACAGAAACAACAAAAGCAACAACAACAACATCAACAAGAACAACAGCAACACAAATAACGACAACAAAATGAACTCAAGTCCTCGCAGGTCAGCAATCAAGAAATCGATATTTGACCATACGCCTTCTTCGTACTACTGATCAGGTGACAGCCATAATGTACACACAGCAAACCGGTGTTTGTAGACTAGCGGTTAAGACAGTAGTTCTATCTTAGGTTCAACTGAACCCCAAAATTTCGATGAGTCAGTCCCAAGGCCCGGAATGCACGTATGAAAATTGCTTAGTACCTCCAACAAGTTGAGAATCACTGAGTTGGGCGCTTCTCTATGGCACACAGAAGACCTGAGTTCGATTCCCTTGCAGGGAAGTAGGGATGTTGGGGGGGGGGGGTCTTTTTTATAATCGAGTATCTCCTTCTGTCTGCTGTGACACGGTATACCTCTCAAGACTCTCTGACAGACATGGTTGAAGCAACTCGCTCCTAAAGTATCTCAGTTTTGTCGATAGGAGAAGAAATATTGAGAGATGGGAGGCTAAAAGTAGAGTCGGTCTTCCTGGAGACAGATGCTTAGCCGTAGAGGAGAACAATACATGGAAAGAGCTTCTGAAGAACGCAGGGCGAGGTCTAGAACAAAAGTCACCAGATGCCCCTTACAACCCCGGAAGTTCAAATATAGCTGCTGTAGCAGGAAACAGAGACTGTCACTCTCGAATTGGCCTACGCAGTCACAGCAGTCGCTGCTCTTATACCAACTAGACAAACTCTAACAGGTGCATAACCATGGCCTCCAGAGAGGGATGGATGCTGACGTCGATAAGGGTGTAAAACTTCTGCAGTTACAACAGTTACTGAGCGCAAACGCGTACCATCAAACACATTCTTAGCAACAACCATGCTGTCTTAGAGGGGATACCCATCAGTCAAATGGGTCAATTCCACATGACCACATCACATCGGATTTGGACAGGAAATGGCAGTGGACTGTGCATGGTACATC